TGTGCCTGGTGTTATATAATATCTCTCTGATGAGCTAAATAACATAGCTGACCTGTGTGTCCCAACCTTTTCTACAATTCCTCAGATACGAAAACCATGGTTTAACGATGACTGCAGACATGCTAGGAAGGCCTTGAAAGGCTGCAGATTATTTCCGTTTCCGTTTCAATACAGTAACCGCCAGTTTTGGCGAAATAATGTTTCCAAAATTAGTTCACGTACGCCGATTTCTAAAGTATGGAATATGATCCAGAAATTGAGAGGTAAGGGCTCCAAATCATTAGGGCATTAGAGACTAATTATTAACTAAAAAAAGATATTTCAAATATACTTGGTGAAAACTTGGCAAAACATTCTTTGTCTTTAATTATGTACCCCAATTCGAAAAATCCCCAAAACAGCAGGAAAAGAACAGTATACATTTCAAGTCAGATGATGGGAAAGATCACAGTGAAATATTTTCTGTTAATGAACCCCCATAAGCTCACTATACTACTAACGTAAATTATCAACTCCTGAAACTCTTTCTGGCACCACTTTACGGACTCTCTTAAATATCTTAGATGATTTTGGACGTCAGGATGCTTTTCTTCTTCCTGGTGTAATGATTATCCCGGTGCCCAAACCTGGACGTACAGGTCCCACTTCATTACCTCGCTGCGTTTACAAAACCATGGAATGCATGATATATAATCGAATAGTTTGGTAATTAGGGCCCAATAGTATTCAATGTGGTTTGCTAAAAACAGAAGTACCATCGATCACATAGTACACTTTGAATCACTCGTCACAAATGACGTAATCAATAAACAACATACTGAAATAGTCATTATTCAGTTTGCACTCACTCTCTCCATGACAAAAATCTGTGGAAGCTCATCCATGAAGTCAATTTGAAGCTTAACCAAACGAGCTTTACATTCAAAGTGAAGCAAGATGGGTGGATGGGATAGGTAGCCAAGACATTGATGTCTGATGTGCTAGCCATTGGGGGAATGACGATGGCAACAGATAGGAAAGCGGAACAACGTTACTTAGGAATGTGCAACTATCTGTCATGATACACACTATCTGTCAAGGCTGTGATGCCATTGACTTAGCTGTCACACAAGAGGGCAGGTTGGACATTGGTAGCAGTTTATAATAAGAGTTTTAAATACAGCAAAGAAGCTTATCGCACAATAAACTAATGGGCTTTTTTATGACAACAAATCATGTGTATTGGATGCAAGTGACATGGGAATGCAGGGGGCATTACCGCAAGAGTACCGCTCAGTTGCATTCACAAGCTCAACACTATCTGGAGCAGAGGTCAACTGTGCACTCTCCGACAAGGAATGTCTCGCAATCCAAGCTGCATGTAACAAGTTCTGTTAATATATATAAGGAGAGAACAAACGCCCGAACAAAGTAGCAGGGTGTTAGCAGCTGCAACCATGTAACTTCAATGCTGTCTATAAGAAAGGAAAACACATGGCAAATACACAAGAAAATCGTGAACCAGAGCAAGTATGTGGCCTTGCAACTGTATGCAGTTTGATCAGACCTGCACATAGGGAACTGGAATTTCCAGAGATACAAAGGTGGGGTTGATGGTCTCTCTGTGTGATACAGAATGCAAAGATTGACATCACTACTTTGTGAGCTGTCGGTGTACAACGGAGCTGTCGTCGTACTTAGGGCATTACAGAAGACGTTGGGAAAGGCCCACATTTCAGGGGACATCAAGGTGCTGAGGGATGCATTCGATGAGCATGAGAAGTGATGCTTTGAACCGGGATGCAAAAGCATCAAAAGCCAGATGTCAAGGAGAAAACGAATATCGCCAATTATGATTGGTTACCATGATTGGGTAAACTAATTTGCATAAATTGATGATCAAACTTACTATACAGGTTTTTATTGTATACTAAGTGTTACTGGAAATGTATTTCACATAAGTTTTATCTGTATTATGTTGTGATAAACAACAACATTTGGCCATTATACAACTTGAATACAAATCTTGTAATCTACGTTACCGTAACAGTAGCAGATTTATATAGACATTCAGAAAAATTACTGGTGAAATGTTGCTGTACTACTACACAGGGATACATTGAAAGATACAAAAGTTCTTAGTCTCAGTCATTATATTAAGTACAGACAGTACAGAAGCACAGTGAAGATTCATCCAAACTGTAAGCACGTACCTGTTTAATTGGATGTAGAATATCAACAATGATAAGCCAATTAAAAGTAAATAATCATTTAATGTTTAGAGTTCATAACATAACTTTAGATCCATAATCTGTCTTACCTGAGTAGCCCTGATAGTTTGTGATAAACTGTAAAGCGTCACTGGACAATCACGCCTCTGAATAAAATGTCCGTCATGCCATGTGTTTTGGTACTTGGATGACTTCGCCAATATTACTTCTGGAACCACTGGACAGTCAGTGCCAATTGTACGTTACTCATGTGTGCAATGGTGATGCTCCTTTGGAAATGAGGTCACGTAGATTACATAACGTAAGTTACAAAGACGTCCTTGAGCACCCACCAAACATATAAAGTGTAAAGGAACAGCATCTCCTTCACTTAGTTATTAGTACTGAATAGGTCCGTTCATTTTTAAACTCTTTTGGTGACACTGGATGTACAGTTTTTATCTTATGGTCGCCACGTAGATTACATCCTTAAAAAATCTCTACAACTTTAAACCTGAGAAGCATCATGGTGAGAAATCGGCTGAAATTTAGTGGCTATGAGATTGATATTGTATGAATATTTACACATTGGAGACATGCACATTCCGGTGATTTTAGGTGATGAGTCACACATATGAATGACAGATCATTAGGGATGTCTATGTCTCGGACATCTACCAAGCCTGTCGCCGAATATAAACATGAAATGAACAGGTGAAATCAGTCAAAAAAGGTTGTTTAATGTGGTGCACATTTCGTGAGAATAAGTGTATTAACCCTAACCATTAACATCTGCTGATGAACTCAAGTAGGTTCCCACATGTGCCAAATGAACTGAACCTTTATATTGTCTTGTTTGTTTATTCCATATTGTATATATGTTGGTTTTATATTCAGAATCTGTATATTGTTAAAATGGGGAAAGTGGGCAGGTGGTATTTACATACTCTATGGAACACGGTGAGGGTACGTGACGTGGTTGCTTAAGATCGGTGTTCTGTTGTAACTGCCAACAAGGATGTTAGCATCTATTTACGTGAGGGTACAGGCAATTAGGTACACTCTGTCAGTTCGCCGTGTTGGGGAGTTTTCACACAGGTGTTTTATTCAACCCATATCTTAAAGGTCACATGCAACCAAAAAATCAAACATAATTAAAACACAATTATCACTTCTTCATGACATATAATATGCATTGCTGATTATGAAAAAACAAATAAACAAAATTATAAGCGCATAATCGCAAATCAAAAGTGCAATATTTTGTACTTGGGTTTACCTTCCTCGAAACGAAGCAGCCGGGATACCGAACCCAGTCAGAGCGGGTGGGTGTGCACTCAAGTGTAACGGCTGGTTCATTAGCAGATGCAGCCTTCACGGCTCATTGTGTGTGTATATATAGAGATGTTGGGTTTTGTAAATACATGCTCATTTTTTGTGTATAACATTTTGCAATCAACAGACATCATAACATGTTATGTGTTCAAGTATCACACCTGCCTGTCTGTGTAATTACATAATGTGACAGAGACCGAACTCGGGCCATAAATCAATGCGTTTTGTTTATGATGTATAGCCTGATAGGTGTTAAGTTCAAATTGCATGTGGTCAGTGATAGCAGTTGTGTATTGAATATTGTCATCAGCAGACAGGCAGGCAGACACACAGGTGTCAATAAAACAAGACATTGAGTTTTGTCTGTGACAGCGACATATCTATATCACAGTTAGAAATTGTGTCAACGCTAAATAATGACATTGCTTTTAAGTATCGAACTGAGAAAGTGACTCGGTAAGAAGAACGTGTGGTGAAATAGACAAATGAAATTATATAAACAGTTTATTTACTGTCATAACATATAAAAAGCTCGCGCCTGTGAGATATCAACAAAACATTATGAAAATAGCTCACACCAAAGCCTTCACCGAGTATTCACCAGACAGCCCGCTTCCAAGTTGCGCGAACCTATTTCACTGCGCACGTGCTATGAGCGCAGCCCAGCTGTTGAAACCCGTATTCCCCAGAAAAGTCTGGGGAAAATTAGGGAAACGTTTGAACTCCGATTTCGCGCGTTTTTTTTCATTGCGTTATTTTTCAACTTTATAAGTTGAATTTGCATTTTTTGACGCTTTGTTTCGGTAAGTCCATACCGAAAGGTATCAGAATCTGCAAAGTTGTGTTTTACGTTGCATGTGACCTTTAACTAAAACATCCTGTTGCTGAAGCTATAATAGTTCAGGTCCAAACATGGAGGTAGAACAAATATCAATTCTCAGAAAAGGTAATCATTCACAAAATCACAGTACCAGATTCAGATAGTTTGAGAAAACTCTAAATTTTGTAAAGTCTGGACTGTTGGACGACTGATACCGATTTCATTTTGAAACGTATTTAATACACGTGAAGTACACCTGTCCAACAGACGCCTGTTGTCGACACAATAACCCATATACTTTGGTGTACTTTTGGCACCGTATAAATTTCATGCTCTATTATCGATAGTGTTTTGGGAATACACACTATGCACATTCATGGCCGGTAACATATATTATTTAACGAAACTGAAACATTTTCGACATGTTCACATATGCTCACTGCATTGCTATTTTGTCTTCTGTTATTTAGTAAGTTTAATTCTCAAAGCCTTATTATGATTTTAATGAGAAAATTTACTCAGTCTACCTAAACAGGTTTGTTCTGTATGTGATCGTATGTGACAAGGACTGATGTATAACAAACACTCTCATCACACTCAGTGTTTCAGGCATATTGAGAGACATGTGCTAACTGCAGGGAAGCTACAAATCTTACCTCACTTGGGTTGAGTATCGGCAGTGGAAGCAGGACGACTGGCACTAACACAGCCATCCACAATGTCCGACTGTCAAAGCACGCCCTGCATGTCTCCCTCGTCCCCATGATTCTCGTGTATTCAGCAGCCTGGCGCTGTGGCTCGGCGGCAAGTAGGAAGGCGGCTAGAAAAACTAGGTGAAATGAACACTACAGACTGTAATGTGGGACAGATCGAGTCTGTTTATTACCGGTGTTCACGAACAACTGAACCCCTAGACAGGGTGATCCCTGGATAAGACGCTATGTAGTCAGGTCACCATAACAACATTAAGGTTTGCGCTGGCTATGAAGTCAGCAAACAATTAACTATTGCATCCACTGAGTTCCAAATTGACCTTCGAACTACCTTTTATGCATAACCCAACAATGTGATTGAGCATTAGAAGGCTTAATGCGCAAACCATCACTAAAGACATCACAATGACGGTGATCTAGTATTTTCGATGTAACTGACACTGGGTACATCGAATTCAATTCATAGCTGCGACGCTTGAAACAGAATGTCATCACTGCAGTCTAAAACCTGTGGCGAAGATGGGTCACCCTTATCCATATGTCCTGTCTTGGCGTTGTTACACGTGGACGTCCAGATCGTGGCCGATCGATGACGTCATTTGTGTTCTGGTAGCGTCTCAATGGCCTCATGACGTTGTGCAGACGTGAGCCTTGGCATGCTATGCGTTTCAATAGCCATTTAATTTTTGAACGTTCGCAAGGGCAGGGGTTGAGCTTTCCAATGTGACAGTATTGTGTGGCATTCATTTGCTCTCTTTCTCTTTCCCGGAATGCACGTGCAACAACGTATTGCACGTATCAAGGACGAACCCACTGACGTCACGGAACGTGGCACGTGCATGCATGTTGGATACATGTCACTAATCTCTGAGTTTAAATCCTTATGTGTCTACACAGGTTTGATAAATTTAGATTTTAAATTTTGGTATGCACAGTTTCTTTATGTGCCTAGTATATGTATTTATAGAGGGACTGACCAACTTCGAAATGGCGCACCTGCAGTTATGCATTTATAGCGCATCTACTTGGGAGATATTTACAAGGCCTTTAATGGGGCTTGAGCCGAATGCGTCGCATATCATTTACATATGGTAAAGAAGACGAACATTTTTCATTGATACCAAAACTCGATATATTCAGTCAAATGATAACAATGAATACAGAAATTATTTGACCATGATGTCAGTGTTACTACCAGTAAACTCATCACTGTTAAATGAAATATACACATGGGAAATAATATTGCAAAACACCATATGTTTCATACTTTCAATATGTTCCCATTAACCAAAGTTGCTACCGCCTCTAGACGTAAGAAATCACCAACGATGTGGCCAAGCATTGTGTTGAGAGGATGGTCATCGAAATGTGGTACAACAACCCTGTCCAGGATGTCAGTGATGTCCATTCAGATCTTGTGCGATGGTCCTAACTGCAAGTTTACAATAACGTGAGAAACATCCCCTCACCATCAATGAACCCCTCCAAACAGTGTTTCCGTGGCGCCAATCACGAGCTCAGCCATCAGTCTAAAAACAAAATCGTTCCACCAGTAGGCCCTTCCCCATGACGTCAAATTCCAGTGACACGGAATCATCCATCAGCATGGTGGAGTAAAAATTTGTTCGTGAACAGTACATTTTTACGTCGCTGCCAAAACTGAAGTCCTTTCCCAACGCAACCGGGTTTGTAGATGTCCGAGAGTCAAAGCAGCTGCAGGCAGTGGACGATACGCTCTGATACCCATAGCAGGTAGGCATCGTGTGGTTGTGGCCTGTCAACCGGTAACGCAATAAAAACGTATATTCCGTGTATTTGGCGCCCCCGAGGTTCTTGCAATAAGGCTATGTATCTCGCCATATCAATGTTTCTCCCTCGCTCTTCCAGAGATAAACTTTCGTTTGTGCTCGTGTTATTTTTGGCATATCGTGCGTTTATCGGGTCCTATTTATATACACATTTTGCAGGTTCATTTTGAGTTAGGTCAAAAAAAGCACGTTTTACCATTTTCGTGGAGCTTTACTGTATGCGGGGACGTTTTGCGAAAAGTGGGAAGTATTTTTGCGCGTCAGTATACCATTCGGCACGCCACATTATAAAGGGGTTGTGTATGCTAATCTTATCAGACTTAGTTACTTATCCATGTCCACATAAAGGTTGTCCTGTTGAGACTCTTTAATTCAAATACTATACGACCGGCGTGTGTAGAGTGAAACCCATGAAACAGCGATGTTTTGTACAATAATGCTTCAGACAGCCTACAACACAATATTTCAGATGTGACGCGACAGTCACACAATGCGTCACTTCTCAGGCTTGGCAAGCGGAACAGCGAAAGAAACCTGAGCAGGGGACAGCCAGATGAACGACACCGGCGGACCTGCAGTCAAGCGAGTCACGGCTTGTCGGGTGGTTTTGTATTTCTATGGCCCAGCTCAGCGTGGGTCTGGGCCAGCAGTTTTATTTTCGGAATCAAGGTAAGGCAAACGTTAGTGTTCAACATATCCCTTTTACTTGGGCTTCAAAGAAAGAATACAGGTACGGACGGTGGCAATTAAAACGAGAGCAGAACCACTCATGAAATATTACCTCTTTCTCAGTAACATTGGTACTTTCTGAGACAGAAATCTACAGAAAAAAGTTTACACCACTCCAAAATGCGCAAAGTAGAGGCAACAAAATAGTTTCTTACACACCCGTGGGTGAGAAACCCGTGTGAGAAAACTGGTATCACACATATGTGAGATCGATTTCTAAGCCCGTGATTGGCTAGTCAATGGTGATGACCTAGGGTCAGGGTATGGCGGACTACTTTCCTGATTAAAATTCATTGATAAGTTACTCGTGCTTCCATCGAACAGAAGCCTGTTACTCGTGCAAAAAATTCCCCTTTACACCTACCTGTTATTTTCGCGATTGCAACATAAACAGGTATTTATAAAATGAGTCACAAGTAGAATAAATATAACACAAATCTATTTATTTTCTAATTCCTTTTATTAAAACTTTTGATTTCTAGTCATGAATTCAAAATGGCTCCAACAATCAGTGATACCTGTGTAAACAATTATGTGAAAATCACCGTTAGAGATAAAACCCTTGATTCCCTTCGAATATTCAAAATGTACAACACTGGTACTTTTAAGGTCGATTTGCCTCGTTTCTTTGATGCATTGATGAAGATGACATTTTTCACTGATACACATGATGAAGACCCACTTCCAGCTCCGAGATACTATTGTGATTCCAATGTTATCAAATTCACTCATGAGAATCTGAACCAAAACACACTCGTTGAAACAATGAACAACATGGTACGTTTTGCAAGGCTTCATGAGTGCAAATGGCGGCACACGTCCTTTCTATTCAATCGAACATGTACAGGAACGGTTGATCTACACATAAGTCATTGCTCAAGATATTCCTCCGACGCATGATAATGAAAAGTTTATGTCTTGATAACTTACAGGATGTAATCAACTCACATTTCATACTGACAACTCCGTAAATTCCGTTACATTCCAAGTGGCAGTTTCTGGCTCGGGAAAACGAGAAGGATGTGGCGAAGAAGAGTAGTCCCCCATTGACAGTGAACGTAACCTCAGCAATGTCACATTCAAGCACACTAGGTGCACCTAATTACACACACTCAAAAGTTTTGGCTCCGGTCGATGGGAGAACATTGAACGTAAACTGGTACACAAGTACAGATCCCCAATGTGCAGAGATATCCAAAACAATCTTCCGATGACGACAACCACCAAGCGATAACGATGACGTCACTCGCTCAAATATTTTACGCTTGCAAGAATTAAAATCATCCACATTTGCATGGTAACATCATCGTTTTAGAGGGTTTAATTAATTTTCTGTGATCTTATCTAGTTATCATTATCACTATTGCCTTGATGATGCGAAGAGGTGGCAGAAACCTTTTTTGTGGAGGGTCACCATGGGGATGAGTAGTGATTAGGAAGCCAAGTGACGTCACTCATTCATAAACGTTGTGTTGTGTATTATTGCGCACCTACGATGAGAAAACATGAAATTTGAATCTATTCGACCATAAAATGGTGCGATTTTATGGTGTGTAAGAAACAGATTACTGTACTCGTGTCTGTCAGATACCATTTATCTTACAACTCGTTGTTTCAAAACGTATTTAACTCGCTTTCGCTCGTTAAATACGTTTTGAAACAACTCGTTGTAAGATAAATGGCTATCTGACAGTGATAAACAAACTCGCTAAAATGATTAATAATCTCTATGGAAGACTTATACAACGTCTGTACACCTGAGAAGCGGCAGTGGATGCAAGTAATGTAGTACTTGACAAAAATATACAATGGTGTGGAAGCTCCATGGAAGCTTCATGATTTCAAACTTCATATGGAAGATCTGAGTAAACGGATTACACATTCTCGGTAACATTCTAGCACTTCTTGGCCGACTGGCGTCCCATCTCACTTTCAGCTGAGAGTGTGGGTTCGAATATGGGAAAGTGTAATAGAAAACTATGGTATATGTTAATTTGATCACTTTTTAAAAGGCAAACATTATTTGTACAACGTTATCTCCACGAAAGGTCCTGACTGAATGGCACGTGGACGTACTCGGCTCCGTTAGGCTGAATCCCACTCAGAATCTTCTCTTTCCTCCTCCGGTTGCACCTACATTGTATGTTGTGGAACAAGGCAGAAAATCTAGTAGGAGCAAGAAAAAACATCTCCTAAATGGTGACTATGTGGAAGAAGTGGGCGCTAGTGTTTAACGGATCTATAGCTTTATCCACCCCCAGCCATGCATGTATGTATATGCTCTCTCCTCTCTGTTATTTATGTGTTTATGGTGAACGCACCGGTCTGAGGGGTTTCACAATGAGATATACAGTGCTCTTAATGCTCATCAATTTTCCATGTACATTTATGTTGGATGGAGACTCGTAATAGCCTGTGCTCAGTGGCTGCAGAGCCGTTACGTACTGCTGTGTGCAATTTGTTTGGCTGCAGAGCCGTACAGTATTGTGTATTTTAATCAGTTGAATAGCCGTCACAATGCTATCATTTACACACGAAACAAAACAAAAAACTACGCATGTGTTACTTTATGTGACAAACATACCCATAGAAGTAGTAGTAGTAGTAGTAGTAAAATGTTTATTAAAGTG